GTACATAATTATACTCAATGATATGATGGTATATGCTTTAATATGTATTATATCTGAATGATTTAACTAACTTTAAAATATTTTTCAATATTATTTTATCAAAATCTTTGTTACATTTAGCTCTGAATATGTATCCAAAGAATAAAAAGATTGTCATAAGAATTATTTATTACAAATACTAATTATTTTTGATCATATTAAATAATGTTACCAATACTAGGATAAAAATGTTATATTAAGACATTTAAATTACTACCTAATAGAATTTTTAGATCTTTTGTGTCCATCATCATAGTTTATTGATGTTCAACAGAAACTTAAAGGCCACTGTGATTGATTTTTAGTATTTCATTTCTTATAATTACGATGGCTATTGAAAATAAAATATTATTATAGGAAATAGAGCATATGAAGAAAAATAAAATAGTATCATTGATTGAGAGGACAAATTGTTTAATAACTCGCCTAAAATTTAATATATTTTGATGATCAAAGTTCATTTTTTTTAAATAAACTTTTGGTAGAATCAACAGCTTGGAATCACATTTTGGAACTTGCTTGAATTTTGTCATATTTTGTGATAATAAAAAAAATCGGCATCCTTGGCCCAACAATTTTCAGATTTTTACACATATTCATATTTTCACTAATAATAGCTTGTTTGTCAAGATTTTTGTGCGGGTGCCAGATATCACAAGCATAAGGACTACCTTATCTTGTGATATCCTGGAAAATGGAGAACAATATGCTCTGAAGGAGTTCCAAGATATTGCAGGTAATTTTGAACTTTTATCTTTGATTTCCAACTCCTTATTGATGTTTGTTACTTATAAAGTTATTATGAAATTTTCTTTTGTTTACGACACTTTCCGGAAATCAAAAAGCGAAAAAAGCCACTCACGAATAGTTGTCTTTTACTAAAATATGATTAAACAAATACTTCACGCTTTCTGAGTTACTTAAAGAGAATCTAAGAACAACTGTTAAAAAATCTCGGCAAATGAGAGGTTCAGAAGTGAACTATCAAGTCCAAAAAGTAATTATGGAGAAAATGGAAGTTAAAGTTTTTTAATGTTACTTACAGTTGGATCAACGTCAGTACAGTCAACAAATTACACTGAGACTTGGAGTTTTTGCGTGTCCTTATTTACTGAACTAACAATGCTTACGGAAATATGACTCTATTTCCGTAATTATTGCATTTTGTACGGTATTATGGCCATTTTTAATTTTAAAATTTGTCATCTGCTCTATTCATCCTTGCATTAGAACTTTAAGATCAATACTTGATTTATCATATCATCGAATATTATTAGAATAGATAAGAGAATAATAATAATGTTGGTATATTATAATGTGTATGTTGTCAATAATCCTCTGATAAAATGAGATAAAAACTGTAGGTAAACAGGTTCATTGTAAGTAATTTCATGTTACTATATATTTGTTAACTTGTCATGTCAATATCGACGGAATGTTACTCATTGTAATAGTCTATTAATTTTATCGATACCAGCCGAATTTCGACAAAAGAGACTGAATTTACGGTAGCTTTTAAGACTTTAAAAATGTGATTACGTATCCGACGATCCGCATCCAATCTGGAAGAGACGGAGGCTTCACACCATGAGTTATCGCACCTTTGTCTCGCTGTCGGCTACAAAAATTAAAAAGTATGTTCCATTTTAAGTGCTTGGCTTTATTTGGTAGTGTTTTATGCGAAACCGTTCTTTTTTACCGTATTCTAACGTAAAGAAAATCATTTATTCTGCATTAATATGCTCATAATGGTTTCTGCACTGATAAGTTTCAGACTGCGATCTAATATTTGATTCTCGGCAATTATAAAACTTAACGATAGGATAACGTGATAAAATGTTTCTCGTTAGCAACCACTTTAAAAAGATATGTGCTACTACTATAAAAATAAATACTCTAAGGTAACTATGACCTGAGTGCAAAGATTTAAATAAAAAAAATCAACTTGTTTAAAAACTTATAATAAATCGAAAAATAACCTAACCGATAAAGCTATAAAAAAATTAATTTGGGGTTTCGCGTACACATATCACAATTATTGAGGAACCGCCACTAGTATTACCACAGATTAGGTATACTATATGTATACAGATAAAAATCTTATCCCTAATTCGTGGTACGAAAATTGTTTTTATGACGATGAGCAAACGAGTAAAATTTCCTGTACGCAAAAATAAACTCGCGTAAAATAACAATAGACAGCGTAATAGAGAGATATCGGTAAACCGAATAACGTGCATGGACGTTAATAACGCCAGGTGTTATTTCCTTTACGTGAGGTGGTATTAACTCTCTTCATTTATAGTTATCGGATCGGAAAGAATTCTGTTCGCGTCGCGTCCGCTATTTAAACTTAACCTAACTTTGAATTTAAAACTTTGAAATTGTTTTGTTTACTAGGTATTTTAAAACTAAAGGGCTAAAATGCTTATTTCCAGTGCTTTATTGTTCAACGTCTGCCAGTGGGTTTAGGGCAACAAATTCTCTTAGAAGGGCTAAGTCGTCATCTGCTGTAAACCTAAGCCTCTTTATAGATTCTTTAATATTGGAAGAGGTGGATTCCATATTTTGACCATATTTATTTAATTAGAACTAATCCCAGCTACTTAAATATCAAATTGCCTAATAAAACTAAAGTAATAATTCAAAACAATTCAAACATAACCTAAAATAAAAGATCTCGCCGGCCGGCCCCGGTTGCATATTCATATCAACGTTGGATTGGTTACTTCAGGTTTTCAAATACCCGCATATGCCCATTTAAGCAATTTTTAAACGTTATTTAGAAATAGCGCTTGGTGTAATTGATCCGCAAATTACCTCAGGCGGTACGTTATTAGCGGGCGTTACGTTAAAAATTGACTCGCGCATATCGTAACTGTCAAAATAAGGTACGTAAATACTGCATGACGCTATTCGGTTTACCGATGTCTCTCTAACTGTCAAAATAAGGTACGCCTTAATACTGTATGACGCTATTCGGTTTTCCGATATCTCTCTAATAACTGGGCCGGTCAGGCGCTGTGCTCAATTTTAGAGGCCATAAGTGAGCGTGCTATGTGCGCAAACTAGTAACCTAACTAGTGCCCGATTCCGAAAATTGGAACTACGAAAAACAATAAAGAAAAACTAAGTTTATAATCTGTATAATCTGTGGTATTATTTATATCTTATATCAGCTACTTACAAATAACTATGTATATCATAAGATTCTTCTTTGCTATAATCAGATTTTTATAATAATTTTAAACCTATTATACAGTTTTTATTGAACCATTCATAAAGATATACAGGGTGGTTCGAATTTTATTCCGGAAACTTCGGTAGCATATTCTGCAGATAAAAATAAGTAAAAAAATTCGTATAAATGTATGTCCTGAAATGCTTAGTTTCGGAGATACAGGGTGTAGAAGTTTTATTTTTATTTCGATTTTTTTCCAATTAATTTCTGAAGTAAAGTTAATATTTGGATGAAAATTGGTGTCTGGTAGTTTTTTGGCATGAGAAATTTGATTTTGATGTCAATATGACTCCTGCTTGTAGAGGGCGCCACCTACATATTTTTTACTGGTTTGAAGAGTAATAACTTATCGTCCGTATCTGTAAAACTACTAAGTAAAAAATATACATTTACAACGTTTTTTACGTAAAAAAGGTCTCTTGGTAAAAATCGCTACGAGTAACGGTTCTGGAAATATTTGGAATCGAAATTATCAATACCCGTCGTCATTGACATAAATGACTAAAAAGTTATTGACCTGAAATCATAAATTTGAAATGTTTTAGTGCCAAAATTTCAATAGAAACTGTTTTATCATAATTTTTTCGAAGAAAAATTTATGATTAAGTCAAATAACTATCTACTCACAACACATTTTTATTTTTTTGTCAATAATGACATGTATTGATTATTTCCATTCTAAATATCTTGAGAACGATTTCTCGTAGGGATTTTTACCAAGAGACATTTTTTACGTAAAAATCAGGGAAACGTATACTTTTATTACACAGGTACGAACGAAAAGTTATTACTTTTCAAAACAGTTAAAATACATGTAGGTGGCGCCTCCTACAAATAGGAGTCATATTGACATCAAAATCAAATTTGTCATATCAAAAAACTCACTGACACCAATTTTCATCTAAATATTGATGTTACTTCAGAAATTATTTGAAAAAAAAATCGAAATAAATATAAAACTTCTACACCCCGGATCTCCGAAACTAAACATTTTTACATACATTTATACGAACTTTTTTACTTATTCTTATCTCCAGAATATGCTGCCAGAGTTTCTGGAATACAGTTCGGACCACCCTGTATGTTGAGAATTACGAACAAAGACAGTATTATAAGAAGTATCGATATTGATCAAAAAGTGCATAAAATATTTATGTTGTTTACAATTCTCTGAACGGAGCAGTCTTTGTTAAGATAATTTGTAAGATTTTTATATTGTAGTAGCACATACTTTTTATAGGTTTCAAAGGGAGATTTTTATTATTTTTAAACGTATTTGTTACCGTTTCATGTTTACCGTTTATAAAACCAAATACTTGCGTCGCTGTAAAATTCGTTATATCATTTCTGACATGTCTTTTTATTTGATATTCTACAGGTAGCCCGTAAGTTGGCCATGGTTGAAGCTGACCTTGAAAGAGCAGAGGAACGTGCCGAAGCTGGTGAATCGTACGTGTCAACTTTTTTGACGGTTTTTCGATGTTCTTTTGTTGTTGTTGTCGTCGTTGTTCCTTTATTTTAAAGCATGCTTTTGTTTCTTTTTAATACAGGAGTCGCCGCCTACCCAGATGGACACAGATCAACTTGATTTAAAACTAATTATTTTAAATTAACCATAATTTTTGTTTGTAGTGAATTTATGCGTACTAAGTTAACTAAGTTATATTGTATGTTTTTTTACGTTTTGGCTTGATTTGCATGATTTTTGCACTGTTGCCAGGTCGCCAGGAAGCTGGTACTCATGGAACAAGACTTAGAACGAGCAGAAGAAAGGGCGGACCAATCAGATAGGTGCTTACTAGAATTATTTATTTTTAACATTTATTTAGACAGCTTTATGAACAGCTCCATAGGATCATTTTGTTTGGATTCAGTACATAATTTTGCTGGATATTATAGTCTAAGAGCTAGCAACGTTTTCGAGAAAGTATTTTAAGGCGTCTGGCTCTTTGATATTTATTTTACTATGCTCTCTGGAACAGCAGTCTGCGTTCACTACTGCGCATCGAAAGAAGATCCAATATTTTTTATTAATTTAGTCCTATAAATTCTAGTATGGAATATAAATCGAACATGTCTCCATAGCGCAGTGCGTAGAGTTTCCGACCACGAACAGAAGATTGAGAGTTCGAATCCGGGTCAGGTCAAAGACTTTTTTATTTTATTTTCGTTTACATTCTGATAGTAAAGCATTAAAAAATAATTATGGTGATTCAAAAACAAATATTTAATACTTTACTATCAGAATATAAACAAAAATAAAATAAAAAAGTCTTTAACCGGACCCGAATTCGACTGCGCTATGGAGACATGTTCGATTTATATTCGATACTAGAATCTAAAGGACTAATAAAAATATAGGATCTTCTTTCGATGCGCAGTAGTGAGCGCAACGGGTATCGGCAGCCAGACGGGCCGTATGCTGTTCTAGAGAGCGTAGTAAAAAATATATCAAAGAGCCAGACGTCTTAAAATACTGGTTTTTCCGACATTGCTAGCTCTCGTACTATTACTCCTTAGAAAAAATTACCACTGAAATAAAGATAAAAATATTTAATATTTTGCACGCAAATAAAAATGTATTTAAAAAAATCTGAAAAAACAATATGTTCAAAAATAGATAAAAATTAAATGATAGAAGGTGTTTCTAAAAAGATGCCGATTAAAAGTTGTATCTTGATATTTTGTCGATTTCCATTTGCTTGATGAGATAAACGCAATTTTGTTACTCACAATTAATAAAACATAAAACTAAAATAAAATTAATAAATTATTTATTTAGTCTAATTTATTATTAAGATTATTAAAATTTATAACATTGGTGTTAGTGCTATTTGCAAGTTTTAACATCCTGTAACTTCCTTTCCTCTAACTAAAACTATGCATTTCAGCACCCATATTTATAGGAACTGTTTTTTATATCTTTTGATGAGGAATCATTGAGTACTTATTTAATACTTTGGCCAGTTGACATTAAAAAAAATGAAAGGTTGTTATTAGACTTAGATTAAGGCAAATAAATAATATTGCTTTTATTGCATCGAGGAAATTGAAATCGACAAATTATCAAGAGGCAACTTTTAGTCGGTATTAAACCCGCACACAACAAACATACAGTGCCGCACATGTTTTCTTAGAAAAATATTTCAGTGATAACCCATATGCACGTCCCTGGTGAATCTGTCGACACATTTTAGCATTAAAATATGTCGCACTTATATTAACTTATACTTTCGCTAAAAGCGCTTGGGAAAAAATTATAATAAGTCGAAAAATAATGAAGACCCCTGTAGATACAAAACAAAGCAGAATCGGACCTATGTTGATATGAAAAATAAATATTATTTTCACGTGAGGAATCTCCCTCCCCACGAGAGGTAGCACATGTTTTTTGAAACATCCTCTTTGTGTGTTTTTTATCTTGCTTTATGGTCTCATCTTTTAAGCTCTTCAACTTAAAAACTGAATTCGAACAAATCTAGCGTCAAATTTTTAAAAAATACCGTTTTAAAAAAATATTTAATAAGGTTTCTCAAAAAACGAAATTTAGTGCATACATATTGAAAATTTGTTCAAGCTCACTCTATTGAATGAAATCCAAAATAAATTGATCACATGGTATTTGTTCCAATGTATTTCGCTAGAGTTAAGAGCTAAAAAATGTCAATTTTTACATAAGGCGTGGCAACTATTGTACACCATATAAATTTACATTAGATTAGAGTATTACAATGCTCTTAATTACTTAGTTGTATATGCATAATATATCGACTTTTTATAAAAATTGTTTTAAACTAAAACCAATTTATCACTACACTTCATTTAGAAATGACAAAACTTAATTTGTAATTGCTATTGAAAATATCTAAAAATAATTATGAGTATCGGTCTCAGCACTTGTCCTATTTTTCTCTTATTAAATCGATTAAGAATTTTAATTATTTTATTTGCCAATCAAGTAAATAGTTTTTTAGTTAATTTTGACTATATTTCACAATGAAGCAATTACGTTACAAAATCTATTTTCGTAAAAATGGACATTTTTTAGATTGGGAATTTATTTTCTTTAATACTAAATTTTTCTGTATTTTTTTATAGTAAAATCGTAGAACTTGAGGAAGAACTTCGCGTCGTAGGCAACAACCTGAAATCTCTTGAAGTCTCTGAAGAGAAGGTAAATTTTTGTATTATTTACACATTTATTTTTATATATAGACTAGTTTGTTTTATCCAGAAGTATTCGGAAAATAAACAATATACAGATGCTGCCTTAGTTTTATCAGGTGTATTTCTGTTTAAAATAAATTATTTTTGAATTTCAGAATATTTTCTCTGGATATATTTTCATATATTTACGTTTAAGCTGGTCTAAATTGTAAGATCTTCAATATTTAATATTATTTGCTTAATTAGGTACTCAAATATTTTAGAATATTTTGAGCATCATATTTTTAGACCAACTTAAATGTTATTTTCTTCGAACGTATATTTTATATCATTGTAAAACTATTAAATACATACAAACAATTTAGTCAAAGAGTCAAATCGTTGATTGAAGAAATAAAAAGATGCGCAACCTTATGGGCGATTTCGTAGCACAAAACCTCTCCGAGATATAGCTGGCGTTACCATCAGCCAGTCCGAGATTTAGTTTAGCTCTGCGCAGCTGGTTTACGGATTTTGGGTACACTACGTAAATAATACGAATTTTTTATCATTAAATAATTTAATGTAATATTATATGATTAAAGAACAGCGTCAGAGTTGGCTTGGAAATGAAGATCGCTGTTATTTCATATGTCAAATATTATGGTAAATGTCAATAATCGTCATTTCCAAGCCAACTAAACGACTTTTTCGATTATACGACATATTCAGTACCTATAAAAGAATTTTTATTTTTGTTTATTCTGTGTTTGGACACGAATAAATTTTCAGTACATAAACGCGGATTTTTTTATCCAAAAATATCATCAAACGAATTACAGATATTACACATTGTAATATGGCAACACTGTCGCTTTCAGTTCCACACCGTCTTCGATATGCCTTTGCTGGCCGAATCAGAGAGAATAAGTGTCTTATGCGTTGACCGCAGAACGATTGGTGTCTCCACCGTACAGCACTTGAGACGTAAGGGGAAATCAAATCAGCCATGTTACAAATTCGCCCATTAGGTTGCGTATTTTCCCAATTCTTTCAATCGACGATAAACAATATTATAAAGTTTACTGAAAGTACATAAAATATCTTACGCCTCTGAATATTTTGTGAATAAAATAACTACGATCACCTTACCGATCCCCGTTGCTCTCAGACTATGTATGCTACTTATTTCGGAATTTACTTTTATTGGGTAGTAGTGTAGGCAGCTAGACAGGTATCAATTAACTGTCTAGCCCTATTAATTATTACAGGTTTAATTTATAACTTTTACTTAATAGTTTTACGATGAAGAATGTACGTTTTCGAATGGTAGTAAAACATTTTAGTATCCTTTTAATCAACAACTAAATAATTTAGGCCAACCAACGTGAGGAGGAGTACAAAAACCAAATCAAAAACCTCACCACTCGTCTAAAGGAGGTACAACGCCCGGTTTCGATTGATGTTTTTATTAATTTTTTTGGTTTACGTTGTTGCCAGTTTTAGCATCTTAACACCTTTTAACTGTATGCTCGGAAGTGCAGTGTAGCAGCGGCTGATCTGTTGTTTCTATCTTTCTGTCTCTTTTAACATCTCCTACATTTTTTTTTATATTTAAGCATTAGTTTTTTTAATGTTTTAAATTTGGTATTTGACAAAGTAACGTCAGTAAAAAATAAAATATTTAAATGGTTCAAAAAATACGCTATGTTTGTTACCTTGTCAACTATCAAACGTTTTAGTTTTTTTATAAATTTGTGTTTTGATCTTTATTTTTTGTTGTTTTTGAACTAACGCAGGCCACGCTAAAAGAAGAAGAATATGCAGTGACATTAAAACATGTAGAACAGCAACTCAGAGAGGTAATTTCGGCAGGATCAGACTTCAGAAAAATGATTTGTAGACCAAAAGTATTAAAGACCTTTGTTTATGTCGTTGAGTATTTTAAAAAATGTTATGTAGTAAGTAGTAACTAATAGATTTTCAAAACGTACCAAAAAAACATAAACAGAGGTCTTTTATGTACAGTGGCGTATACATAGGCTCGATTCTCTTTGTTTTGCATCGTTTGTTTCTTCACCCTGTATATTTTCCACCATTATCGTGTCGTTGAACAATGTAGGGCTGTCCCTGTAGAGGGCATCGTCTCTTCTATTTGGTACATTGGTGTTGACGATCTGTTTGTTGTTTCTCATTTTTTGTAGCTGGAAGGGTCAATTATTGGAATTTAATCTATATAATTTTGTAAATCATATTCGACTGCAATGTCGATATCTGTAAAACACCTAAGATGTACTTTTAAAAAAATGATTTGAGATTAATTTTTAAAAATTAAATTTTATTCCTTAAAGACACTAAATACAAAAAAGTAATAACAGACCAGAGAACAAGAATTTGTTACAAACAACATAACTTTAACCAGTTTAACAAGAGTACATCTTTGGTATATTTATATCGTATTACTCTGTAGTATTTTAATCTAATCTGAAGCATGTAATAGCGCTTTTTGTGTGTTTTTGTTCAGGCCGCAGTGACCAGGGAACACAGCGAAGATAAAATCCGCATTATTTCAGACAAATTGCGTGAAGTAAGTTCCCTCACAATCATTTTCTTATTTACAATAATTTTTATTTGGCTAATTCCACGGAAACCATCGTCTTAAGTAGTTTTCCTTCTTTTTTTATTTTACCGCTATTTTTTACGACTAAGTTTCAAAATACTTTAATTCATGCTTTTTATGCACTTTTGATTTGAAAAATTACTTTTGTATTTTTAAAGAGATTTTTTGTTAATAAAAATGTTGAATACACGAATAAGTTTCCGAGCCGTAACGTTTTGATAGTAACTAATTTCATTGTCAGACATATGTATCAGTTCAGTATACTCGCAGGCAATATTTGTCAGATCCCAGTAGCTCCGGATCGTGTCTCAAAACGTATATTACTTCTCTTAACATTGGATGTATTGCAATCTTTTTATCAAATTTTGTCTTGTTTCTTTATTTTTCAATGTAGAATTGTAATTTTACATCATGTATTTTTACGAAAAAAATTGCTCGAATGAAAACACTACGTATCGGGAACCATTCGTGTATGTTAATGTGCACCGACCTTTCTTTCTGTGTTCTGTTACTCTGTCTTTCTTCGAGTTTTATTAAATGGCCCACACATCATTATCTGGTGCATTTTTTTATTCTTATTTATTCTATCTCCAAATTGAATGGTTATTGTCCCTAGTCTTTGAGATAATTGTGATTTAAACAAAAACATATATTCATATGTCTTTCAACGAAACTATATGTCTATAGTTCATGTCAAATAAACTTTTAGTCACGTGATTAAGCTGGACCGGCACAGCGTTGCCCACTTTTACATATTTTCTTTTTTCTTTTAATCAAAATATTTTAGGAAACAAAAATAAATTGATTATAAATATATAAACAGTTATTATTTATATCAACAAAACTCACCTTCTTAATAGCACTTAAGGGATGATTTTTTACAGCTATTATGCTATCTTGTACCTTTCGCATGTGGCAACTTGGCATTTTTTACAGCAGAGTTACCACCTGAATCTCCAACGGGAAATTTAAATTTCAATTAGTCAGCCCAACGCCGAATATGTCAATGGCTGGCAATAATGAATTTAAAAATCGCGCCCGAAAAATCGATTAAGTAACTAAAAGTTTAATTGATATCGAATATATTTGTAGTAGTATATCTAAAATAGTTTTTTTTCTCCAATATGAAAAATAATTACAAGTTTCAGTCAAATATTGCTTATTAAAAAAGAATAATATATTCAGATATGGAATTAGGTTTTATATTAAATATACCTACCATAGACCCACTCATGTCTATGTTATACTGAATGGTGCATCGTCGTTGGAAACAGGAAATCCTATCCAAATTTTGAAGTGTCCAAATATTGGCTCTCCTATTGGTTTTACTGCGCAGTAGTACATAGGTTTTTAAAAGGTCTGCGTATGCTAAATACACATAACTTTGAACAGTTTTGAACAAGCCGATTTGAGAACCAATTTAAGAAAAAATAATTATTGAGAACAGGTAACAATGCAAAGACAAATGTCACCATACGTTAAGAATATGTTAAGATAATGACAACCTATGACTTTGTTTTTGTAAAATTGTATTTCCTAAACGTTGCACTTCTGTCTAATAGAACAAGATTTTTTATTACCTAAAAATGATTTTAAGACACACTAACAGTAGCTATAGTCTGTTCAACGACAAAATCCCTGACAGTGATAGATGTGTCTGTCATTTTAATTTCAAAGTAGTTTATTTTATTTTACAAAGAAATAAGTTGGTACAATTGGAACGCATAATAGATTTAAATTTTGAGTGACAAGTGATTACTTCAAAATATTGTGAAAAAAATTGTATAAAACTGAAAAAATCTAATCGGTACCATATACGAGATGGTATACAACTTTATTTGTGGCAAATACAACTGTCTGCCCATAGTCTCTGGCAAACTGTGTCTCTGGCGGTCTCTGTGCACCGAATATTAACCGTAAACTATGGTCTGGGTTAACACTTAATTTTCCCTCGAGTAATTTTAAAAAACACGAAACACAAGTAACAACACAGTCCAAAATGCAAAACATTTATCATTTCTATTTGACATAATTTGACACAAAATTATAACCTATAATTTGGCAAGAGTTTGACAATTCTCAAAAATCTTAAGTCGAGTTCATACGTATAGGCGTCCGTTTGTCGTTCATCGTTGCGTCAAACCAATAATATTGAAATACGATCTGTCATTTTTGAAATAAACCAATAAAACTGGTTAAAAACAACAAGAGACGACGCATGACGTATTTATTTATAAACCCATCCATAGTTAACTTAAAAAATATTAGAAACTTTGTTTAGTGAAATAAATGGATTGATATGAAAGTCATCTGCTTTTTTTCTGTCATCGTCTGTCGAAATCTTACCTGAGAAAAAAAAACAGAGTATAGTATGACGTAGTAGTGTACACAGCACAACAAGTTGCATTTGCATAAATACTGGATATTAAAATTGTTAAAATATTAAATTAATATTTTAAAATTACATTTGACAGCTTCAAAATCATAGGTTGGCAGTATGTCGGCATTTATCTGATTTTGCATTGTTGCCTGTTCAATTTTAACCTAAAAATAGATTGAAATAGATGCAGTTTTTCCTAAATTAGTTAAAATCCGCTTGTTTAAAATTGATAAAATTTGGCATGTGTGACCTTACGCAGACGTTTAAAACCTCTATTTATGACTTTGTTGTAAAATGAATAGGGGAGGAAATTTTGCATGCTATTTCTTGTTTCCCACAACGATGCACCACGCGGTATATATGTATATACAAATTTTACATTTACATAATCTACACATTACCGTTGACTCACCCCTGGAAACGGACAAATTAGTTACTTTAAATACAGACAAAAAAATATTTTGTAGTCGCGCGTATGGAATTAGCCATTTACAAGAGCACTAAATGAAATGGGGGAAATGTCCGAAGGATTATTTCAGAAATAATTTTGCACGTTAGAATAATCGAGATTTCGGAATTAATCCTCTTGCTAAATCGAAAGAAAATATACAGGATTGTTATAAGAAATTTTACTATACATGGTGTCCCAATATTCCGTGGACATAGAATTACTTCGTATTATTTGAATCAAGATTCTCTTATCATTTTACTTTGGGCATCAAACTTTAAAAAAATAAACATATTTCTTAAGGTATTGTAGAATTAAGAATAAGTACGGAAAGGGTGAAAACTACCCCATCCCTACATAAATTTTAGTAAAGAAAAACTCAGTTTTAGTGAGGATGCAATCAAAAATCCACACATAGGTTAATAAAATTACTTTTCAATTTATCAAGCTTTCGAGACATTTATTCCCATCATTATTAGGACAGTTTGAATGAGTCAATTAACAAGACAACATCCTGTGCACAATAAGGCCTTACAAATTAACATCATCGGTCACTGGAATCACAAAAAATTCCTCTTACAAAAATATGCAAAATACATATCTATAGACGCTCTTTTTTACAAAATTACTCAAAAATAAATTGCTACATTGTTGTTTCGAGCTCGATCAAACAGTAACTGGTCGAGCCTTTATACTTTTTCGAATTAATATTTGTAATGATTGCTTTTCAAACATTTAAATCAATATAACTCTGTTTAAAAATATCTATAACTATGTGGCGGATTCATCTCTCCAAAAAAATCTTTTATGGGTATTTCGCCACTGCACTGCAAAAAAAATCTACAAAATAAAATAGTTATTTTTTGTATACACTTCTGGCGTTAAACCTAAACGGACACTGCTTGTCAGAAGTTATGTTTACAGTAGTTATACAAATTTGCCTAACAAAGAAAAAAATGCTTAACGTTTCGGAAAGTTTATCTCTTTCCGTCGTTCCAAACCAAACCAAAAACACAAAGAATAAAGAAAAAAACTATTTAAAATATTTAAATTCAACTATTCGAGAACACTTTACTTTTGTAAAACAGATACGTCTACAAGAAAACCGTTGTCGTTCTGTTAAAATTAAAAATAAATATTTTTAATATTTTTTTTATTAAATTTAAATATTTAAAATATTTTTTTTTCTTTATTCTTTGTATTTTTTTTTGCTTCCGACGACGGAAAGACATAAACTTTCCGAAACGTTAAGCATTTTTTTCTTTGTTAGGCAAATTTGTATAACTGTAAACATAACTTCTGACAAGCAGTGTCCGTTTAGGTTTAACGCAGAAGTGTTTACAAAAAATAACTATTTTATTTTGTAGATTTTTTTGCAGTGCAGTGGCGAAATACCCATGAAGGATTTTTTTGGAGAGAACTCTGTTTAAATTAACTACAATTATCAACAGTAAAACCATAAAATTATAACAATCCTGTACATATTAATTTGATGCAAAATATCATAAACTAAACGAATAATATGCTTTTGAATAATGTACTTAAAAATTAATCTTGGACCAAAAGTTTATCTTCATTTTTATTTTGCCAGCTTGTGTTTCTTTTGGTTAGAGGGTCGATAATTTGTATCATCACATAGCTATCGGTCATGGAATAAAATAATAACAGGAGGTTTATTATAAGATGTTTTTTGTTCTCAAAAACTTTAAACATTGTTAAGATACAGTGGTCAGCTGTTAAGTACTGTTTCATAAATGATCTACAAGTAGGTCATAGTTACATTTTAGATGCAATTTTGTGGTGCAATAGTTTGATTACTTTGTAAATATACATTTAAAACTACCTCCTGTTATTGTTTATAGTGGTTTTATAGACTTATTAGTTACTATTTAATCTTCACAATTTATTTTGCACATGTAAGTATTCACGCTTTTGTGCAGCTTTTCGCTTGACTAGTCTTAATTTGTGCCTGCATGCTTTTTTACTATTTTCTGTTCAGCTAAAGAATAATGACGATGACTGGTTGACCGTCGTTCACTTAAAAACTAGTTTTTCTAGTTTTTTTAGATGTCTGTCGAAAAGTCATATATTCTCTCGCTGGATAGACTATATCTAGAGTATGTCCCCGGATTGTCTTTACAAGAGGAGAAACTTTTTTATTATTGACATTTTGAGAAAAATGTATTTTTTATAAAAAAAATTTGCTTCTTCTAAAATGGTAAATTCCGTTTATATTTTTCCCAAAGTTCCCAGCCGTTTTAGAGAAAATAAAAAAAACATAAAAATATAGTTAAATTTTTTCCTAAAAGTCCTAAAAATCAAAACGCGTTTCTATGGTAGTATAAGTTCGTTTTCATGCTTTGGTGGATTGTTATTGATAGAATTTTAATTAATGTCATATTTCTTGTTGTTTTAAAATGTCAAAGAAGCACAAAATTTATTTTACTCCATGCTACGTAAAACGTGATTATAAATTTTGTGCTTTTTTAACTAAAATAGTAAAACAAAAATAGCAATGACATTAAACAAACTTATGCCCACTTGCACCGTTTGTATCAACTTTGATTAAAGGCTAAACAGTGATTAACTACACATATTTTATTATAGTTAATCACTGTTTAGCCTTTAAACAAAGATTATACAAACGGTGCAAGTGGGCATTAATCCTAACCATCTATCAAAGAATGAAAACGACATGATATTACCATTATTATTATATTTTTAGGAGTTCAAACATATTTAGGAAATTCAATCATAATATTTTCAGGTTATTTTCTCTAAAACTGTATGGAAATTTACAGTATAAAATTTAAAGTAAGTATAAACGGGATTAACCATTTTAGAACAAGCAAAAATTTTTTATAAAGAATCCATTTTTCTAAAATTTTCAATGAAAAAAGCTTTTCTTGTATAGACAATCCGGGGACATCTGTAGATCTAACTTCCAACGTCAATTTTCGTCATATATTTTAAATAAAAAATGTATTGGGAAATTGACTGTTGGAAAATACTTCCTTTTAAGTTATTTGTTTGCCGTACGCACGTTGAACGAACAAAAATAGAAACATATATGGTTAAGTTTCCATAAAAGGTATCAGACTATATAGAAAAAGTAGAACAGAAGTCTATGTTTTTAATTATTTTATTTTTCTTGCCTTGGCAGTATTTCGTGATTGATGAATTGTAACATTTTGGTATACCCTTTTAAAAATGTAAAAGGAAAGTCAAGTTTTTTGTGTTGTTATTCTATAGAGTTTTATCAATAAAATGTTCTATGACAATATGTAATATAAAGTAATTTAACCATGTATGTTATCTTATACCGTATGATGAAAAAATCGCAAAAGTTACCTTGAGAATGACGATCGATGACATTGCCTATATAATTTCACATACCAATTTGGTCATTTTTGAAGTGTGGTCTGGATTTTAACGTGTAAGACAGTGATGTAAATAGCTTAATTGAAAATCAAATCTATCAAAAAGAGATAAAAGTTGGGTTGATACATTTCTTGTTATTGTATCAACCCAACTGAAAATGTTGCATCGAGGGTTGGGACCTTATTTTTCACAATTAGTTACTCATTTTACTACAGATGTAATAAATTATATTTAACTAAGATATATTATATTCAGTAGTAAACATGAAAGTTTTTAAAATAATTTACTTTTTTCTACATAAATTTTCCTACAAACGTAAAAACCTGCAACACTCACTGTATGTCGCTTTTGATTTTGTGTCTCTGTCTTACACGTCAAAATCTAGACCCCGCTTCTAAAATGACCAAATCGGTATAGAGAAATGCATTGATCGCTATTGCCAAGACAACTCTTTGACACTTTTTTTTCTATCGGATGATATTTCGGTTGTATTAAATTTATTATACTAAAACTTTATTTATTTTTCTAATAGGCTGAAGCACGTGCTGAATTTGCTGAACGTTCAGTCCAAAAATTGCAAAAGGAGGTTGACAGACTCGAAGGTATGTAGTAAAAAGACGTCAGATTTTAATCTAAATTCTCTTAAATAAAAATAAGTAATAATTTTCAAATTAAAAGAAATCAACAAAAAATCCGTTCTCAAAGATAAATTACTATATTATAGACAATATACACATTGTTTTGTGTTGATTAACAACTAAAGAATGACTTTTTAACGATAACAACTAGTAAGATGGTTTTTTGAAGTTCTATAACCTTCTCTCAAAATAAGTAAAGACATAAGAATAGTTTTAATACAGGGTGTCTCAGATTTTAATCGGGAAAATTTAATATACGTTAGGACTTGCAAAAATAAAACAAAAAGTTCATATCAACTTGTAAGATTTAAAGCTTTCTTTTCGAGATACAGGGTACCATTAGAATACCAATTATAATATTAATTACCAATTAGAATTTCATTTTTTTTGCAAGAAGTAAGCAAGATAGACAAAAAAGTCAGGAGATAAAAAAATAATATTTTTAATTACTAAATCCAAAAATAATATTAAACTTCTAAAAAAGCAGTGGCGTGCTTATTTTTTCCTTTAAAATAATTTAAGTGATGCCCCACCGCCGCCCCTGGCCATTAAACTTTAATCTAATTACATCAAATTAAGTCCCATAGTAAGTATTATAAACGGGTCAAGTTATATCAAAATCGATTAAATAGTTTTTCAAATATCTTATTATTTTTTCTTTTTTAAGTAACTTTTAACACCCTGTATCTCGAAAAGGAAGCTTTAAATCTTACAAGTTGATATGAACTTTTTGTTTTATTTTTGCAAGTTCTATCGTCTATTAAATTTTCCCTATTAAAATCTGAGACACCCTGTATATGATCATAAATTTTTATGACTTCTAAAAATATGAAATATGGACACCAGTGTTGACTACCACCGGTTTTTATCTCATATACATATATGTCGCAGGCATATAGAATAATCCGGCTTATTGCAAAAAGACTAGGCATATTATAAAACGCCGGTTTTTACACAAACGAAGGAATTGTTACAAAAACCTATCTATTTTCAGTCACTTTGCAAAAAGCCTAATCAGAATTAGGCATATTAAACAATGAAGGTATTTTCTGTACACTTCTGCAAAAAGACTGCCTGTTTTCAGTCATTTTACAAAATGCCAAATCGAGGCCAGGCAGATTAAAAATGATCAAAGTTTAGTCAGCTATGAGCATAAGCATATTGAATAATTTTCGCTTTAATAAAAATATCACATATTTTCCTATACAGAAACAATAATTATTTATGTCAAAATTTTATGTTTAGACGAAAACAACTTGAATCCTATTTCATAAATTTTAAAATAAATTTAATATTCAGTCTGTACATTGACAGATGCACAATTTTTATGGGAAAATACATTGAAGTGTCAAATTCAAAACCTCTTCATTATAAAACTTTTTGACATTCGCTATTTATTCATTCCAAATTTAATTATAAGAGATATTTCAATCACACATTATTTTCTTCAAAAAACCATGTTGATGTTTTTTATTTTTAATTTTGATTTTTTTTTCTTAACATTTTTTATTTTCGTTTTTTTTTTACTAATTACAAATCCTTTTCTGTCCCCTTCCCAACCCCGCTTTTGCAGACGACCTTTTATCGGAAAAAGAAAAGAACAAAATCCTCGCAGACGAAATGGAGGCAACGTTGCACGACATCCAAAATATGTAAAATTCACACGCCGCAGCTTGTCATTACCTAGGAATTACATATATGCGCACGTGTTTTTTACACTCGACACAGGCAATTGTCAATTTTACTTATATCAGATCGGTTCTCGGCAAGTTTACAGAACAAAAAAAACTCTATTCTGTAAACTCCCACGATTTGCCGCAACCAACAATACACGCTAGCGGACGTTTCGGCGACCGACGTTGCCGAGTCTACTTTTTTTTTCTATTTGTCCATCCGCAATAATGTCCATTCTTTTTCTTTTGGTGCTTATTTTTATTCTAATCGTGAAGGTTTTATGTTAGGATTTTTAAAGCGATGGTAAATATTTTGAAAATATTAACGAATTTTTCTACTTAGATCTTAAGTCTAAATGTGAAAAATTAAAAGTTTACCGTCGCTTTTAAGAGAACAAAGTACGATACAAAATGAATGCATTTTAATATTAGGCACGCAAACTTCACACTCGATATTTTGCCATTTTTATTATACTTTTTGTCTTAAATTAATTTTATTTTATTTATATCACTTTTAGAAATTATTGCTTTTCTAGATCGTTTCGTTTTCTTATATACTGTGTGTTTAAGTTTAAAATTAAAAAGGTTTATCTTAAGTTCTGTTAAATTTATAACAGCCAACTAATATTAAACTAGTCAAAATTAAAGTGTATTGATTTGAATACAGGGGAGTTTAAAAAATGTGAAAACACTAATGAATATGGTAGCTGTAAAAATGTGTATTCAACTGTTTTTTTTAATTACTACCTACATATACATAAAAGATTTTTTTACGTAGAATACAATAAACTTTATTTTCACTCTGATGTCTTGAACACGCTGTATATACTCTCCTTATATAAAACGAAGTTACTTGTGATGGCGTGATAAGTTGCAATATATAACGATAACAACACTGCCTTCAATATCGATTTAAAATTACTGGCCGCTTACGACTTATGATTTTTCACGCAACAAAATTTGGTAGTTTTCAAAAATGTGTAGTATCAAAAATATAATTTTTATTATATTTTCGGCATTTAAGCCAGGTACAAGTATTTTGATACTAACATTTCTACTAGATTTTTTTGTAATGCATTCCAATAAAAGCATTTATTTCAAACTCCTGTACATTTCCATGTATTAGTTTCATATTGTTAGTATTGGAAGAAACGAAATAATGAGTGGTAATATTTATTTATTTAAACTAATTTTAAATCCAATAAAAATTGTTGGCTTGATAACAAATCGTTCTTAGGATGTTGTAAATATTGATATTTATAAAAAAAACTTTCTAAACACATTCGGAATGTTTGGTTATCATTTCTATTTTTTTAGTAAAAGAAATAAAGAAATATTACCGCCCACACAAACTACATAAAACGGAATAGGTATTCGTCTATAAATGAAAATTTTCAGTCGTTACGATAAAAATTATAAGTATTAAATTTATTGATAAACAAATTTTATTTTTAAAGTCTTATTGTTTATATTTTCTAATATTACAAAATGTATTTTATTTAGCAGTTGTAAACTAATTGGTTAATTATATATTTAATGAACACTTTTTGTTTTGTTTTTTTTTTTATTTCTTTTTGCTGCTTCAAACTCCCTTTTCCTTGTTGGTTTTGCATGGATTTGCTTGTGAAGTGTGAAATTGTTGTAATCATAAAAAAAATTAAAACGTTTTTATTATTTGCTTTGATACATATTGCTTAGAAAGTTACTTTTAGTAGTAAACTTATCGTCGCGGGATACGATCCGTCTCACCATCCATTTTTAATTTTTTAAATTGTCCTTTCGTTGCTGCTAAAATGTTGCTAGCAGTAGTACTGTAGATAAGACTAAAACTTCACGTGTTTTAAAAAACGTGCCATCTCTCTTTGGAAAATTTCCCTCACTCTGACTTATTTTTCATCTTAATATAGGTCCGATTCTTCTTTGTTTCGCAGCTACATCAGGTTAGTCTTAGTGCTTTTAGTAATTCGAATGAAAAATTGAGGGTAAAAGTTACTATGTAAGTGCTACACAAATAGTAAATGCTAAAAAAGTATCTACAGATTCGCCAGGGACATACATACGGGTTATCACAGGAATATTTAAAAAAAAACGTGTGCGCCACTGATTTTTTTCTTGTTAGCAAAATTGTGTAGACTGTCTAATGTCGATAAAAAGTTGTATCTTGATGTTTTGTCGATTTCGATCTCCTTGATGAGATTAATCAGAATTAATAAAATAAAAATTAATAAATTGTTTTATGTCCAGTGCTAACTACAGCAAATTTAAAATATGTAATGGTATTAGGGATAATTACAGAAAACGTTTATTTTTCAAGTTTTAACATCCTGTACCTTTAAAACTGCTACGTCACCCATGTTTATAGGAACTTTTTATACAGGGTGAGTTTCCTACGATGTTCTCTATGGGTATCTCAGAAACTACTGGAGATAGAGAGTCGGTTAAATGGGGAAAGAATTGCAGTTTTGTGGGGTCATAAATATGCGCCTTTTAGATTTTTGAAAAAGTTCATGGCTTACTAGATATTTCGAAAAAAACAAATTTCGGCTATTTTAAAAATTGTCCCTAACTCCATTATAAGTTATTTTAGACAAAAAGTTTTCAGATAAAAGTTGTAGATAATCACATCCCTAATGAGACTGTGCCCTCCGTTTTCTTCTAAAGCCTGTAAGGGGGGGGGTCATAATAAAAGTCATGTTGGAACCACTCTATTGATGCGGGAGTATCTACACGCTTTTCGTCATTTGAAAAATTCAAATTTACAATTTTTGTTTATTTTAATTTACAAGGTTTGGATGTGACAGTTTCACATTTCTGAGAGCAAAGACGATTAAACTTGTTTCCATGGCTAACTAAGTGAAATTGTTTAAAAATTATAAGAATTGACTATAACTCAGTAATTTTTCGAAGAAAACATATTATAGCTTATATCGCTAAAAAACTTAAAAAATGGCGCTTTTTATGAAGTCATGGCCAACTATGGTTTCCACTTTTAAAAAAAAAACATGTTTGTGTTATATGTCAAAAATTACAGGCTTTAGAAGAAAACGGAGGACACAGTCTCATTAAGGATGTGATTATCTACAACTTTTATCTGAAATTTTTTTGTCTAAAATAGCTTATAATGGAATTACGGACAATTTTTAAAATAACCGAAATTTGTTTTTTTCGAAATATCTATAGTAAGCCATGAACTATTTCAAAAATCTGAAAGGCGCATATTTATAACCCCACAAAACTGCAATTCTTTCCCTTTCTATAATCCCTTTAGGATTATAGTAAAATAATAAGACTGCGTTATTTTCATCAAGGAGACCGAAATCGACAAAATATGAATATACAACCTCTCTAATTTTCCTAACAAAAAAATTCAATGCCATATGTTTTTTTTAGAAAAATATTCCATTGATGCGTCCCTGGTGAATATATAGACACCTTTTTAGCATTAAAATATGTCGTAACTCTTTTAAGCGTTTACCCTCAACATTTCTCTCGAATCTTTAATAGGGCACGTGGACGAAAATTATAATAAATCGAAAAAGAATCAAAACTTTAACTCCGTGTAGCTACGAAATTGTGTGTGCGCATATTTGATGTGAAACTTCATACTTCTTTCTCCATCTGAGGACTCCATTCAGGTACCTCTATCCACGTATCGAGTTTGGTTTCAATCTACCCATAATTAAGAAAAATCCTGATGATTTCGTACATTTAGAGGCATCGATTCGAAACGTCGAGGGCGTCATCCTCTAGCCTGCCCCCAATTATGCCGAAATCGAGCCATATTTTTCTTCAATATCAAATTCTTAGTCCCACCCTGATGAAGATATGTAATCGAAACGTCGCATCCAACTTTGTGTGTGCACCGTCGCTCACATAGCCTACCCACCAAATTTGGTAGCGATCGGGCATCAACTAACTGTCACAGTGACACGTGTCGTACACGGTCAAGTTGGCCTTGGTCCAATTTATCGACATACCAAAATTTCATTTAAATCGGAAGATTTTTCCCCTGGTGTGCCGTGTCGTGTGTCACGGCCTTGAATTTTTACTCCCAGCGCGCGTAAAGAAGTTTCACTTCAGAAATAAATCTTATTTTTACGTGAGGAATCTCCTCCCTACGAGATGGCACATGTTTTTTCACAAACCAAACACCCTGTATATTAAGTAATAAAATAATCTCAAAAATAAAAATATTCTGTATACCATAATACAACGTTTGTCTAGAATACACTTATGTAAACTGCCTTGATAATTTTCTAATCCCTAATGATCATTAATCATCAGCATATCGAGCAAAGGTAAGTAAATTAACATTAATGTCGTTTGAGTTGTGTGATACTAAAAATGACACAAAATACACGAAATCGCCTACACTATAGTTCGGAAAATAATTATATTTTTGTTTATTTCGTTAACAGACGAGCTGGTCGCAGAAAAGGAACGTTACAAGGAAATTGGAGACGATTTGGACACCGCATTTGTGGAACTTATCCTCTAAATTCCTCTCCTTTAAACCACACTCCCGTATTTATTATTATTATTTAGTTTTTGCCAACATTTGACAACTTTTATTTCGACACTCAGACTTGAGCTTTTGGTAATTAGTTTTACTATTCGTTACTATAATTTGAAGAAAAGCGACTCTTAACATCTTTTTTGGACCGATTAGTGAAATTTTATCTGCCTGAAGAGATACGAAATATAAGTAGTCAAAATGGCGATGTTAGAATAGGTTTATGTTTTATTTGTGTTACAGATTAAATATACCTTTACTAAATATAAAAAGTCAAATGAAAATATATTTATCCAAACACTTTTATTTTGTTTTCTTTCTTGATGTTTTTCTTTTGTTATTTTAGACCCTTCTTAATGATTATCGCTTATAGTTTTAATTTGTTTTTGTGCGTTACTTTTGAAAACGTGAACCGCTTTAGAAGCCTCCCCTATTAGTTTTCGTATTTTTTTTTATTATATAAGTGATTTTCCAACTCAGCAACTTTATCTCCTAACGCACTTCTCTCTTCTTCGAACGTCTTTTGCAAATCACCATTCAACAGCTCATGTATCATTTAGGAGTTTTGTCAGCACATGATTTCACCAACGTATTAATTTCATCTTTAGCTTCTCTAAAAAAATTAATGTATGTAAGTATACAGGCTGTCCCAGGCTGAGCGTTCATTAGAAGTTTCTGGGGAACTTCAATATCTAGATCGGAGATTTTTGCAGATCGTTGTTTCACAACGAGATCTATCGATTAAGAATAGTTTCAATATGGCGGCACTTCCAGGAATACCGTTGATAGCAACTTCCCTATTTTAAATGGGTATACCCATTTTTTATTACATACTTAAATTTAAAAAAAAAGCGTCCATTATTCCTAAAGAAACCTGGTTTATAAATCCAAAAAAAAATGCAAATCTAGACATTAGCGGTAAAATCTGTATCTTTGCGGACGATACTAGTTTCACTTGGAGCGACCCGGATGTTACGGCACTATATAATAACACAGGCCGACAAAAAAAAATTTTTCGATGTAACACAAAGCTCAATAGGATATTGTGGTAGAATGAACCTATCTAATCACGAAAGTGGCAAAAAAAAAGTCGTAACACGTAAGGTTTTTTTGTTACATTAATAAAACATCATTCAATATTACAATATTCAATATATTAAGATAGCTATTCAAAACATGATTTAAGAACTTCTTAAGCCTATATACCGATTATATTTTATAGTTTACACTCCTCAAACATTACTTATACCTAAAAAGTACAAAAAACAATCGAAACGAGATCAAAACATAAACAAAAACTTTTACTTTTTCCTTTTATGAGGGACCGCGTCTTCTCTCTTCAAAAACCAACAGTAATCACCCATCATGGCTGGATCCCATCGTCCTTGATAACGAATTTCCATTGTCCTTATGTCTTGATGGAATCTCTCACCTTGCTCATCACTGACAGCACCCATATTTTCAGGGAAAAATGACAAATGAGAATGGAGAAAGTGAATTTTTAAAGACATTCGGGCACCAAGCGATTTATAAGCATCTAAAAGCGCATTAACCAATTGTTCGTAGTTCGCATCCTTATTGTTTCCCAAAAATCCCCTCACTACACTAACAAATGAGGTCCATGCTCTGAGTTCCTGCCTGGTAAGCGTGTCTGTGAAATTTGTGTCGTCCAACAATTTCCTGATTTGTGGTCCAATAAAAATACCCTCTTTCAATTTGGCATCACTCAACTGGGGAAAGACTTGCCTTAGGTATTTAAATCCATCACCTTCTTTATTCATAGCTTTCACGAAGTTTTTCATGAGGCCAAGTTTGATATGAAGAGGAGGCAGGAGGACGTCTTTGGGGTCTACAAGAGGGATATACTTGACATTTTGGGAACCCGGTTGAAATTCACTTCTTTCTGGCCCAAATTTTCTGTACATAATGATGATTTACTGCACGACTGTCCCACAAACAAAGAAAACAGCAATATTTTGTAAATCCTCCCTGAAGTCCCACTAAAATTCCTATAACTTTCAAGTCCCCACATATCTGCCATTTATACCTGTTGTAGTTGATTCTATCTAAAAGCATGCGCATATTTTCATAAGTTTCCTTCATTGTCACTGAATGGGCAACTGGTATAGAGGGTTTTAAATTTCCGTTATGCAATAACACAGCTTTTAGGCTATATTTCGACGAATCTATGAATAAGCGCCACTCACAGGGAGAATGTTCTATAGAAAGTTCCTGCATTAAGCCATCGATATCAGTACATGCACACAACGAATCCTCCATACTGTAGAATGCAGAGAACGGAGCATTTCTTTTTCTAAAAGTGGTGATTTTTGTTTCATTGGCTAACAGATTCCATTCCTTAAGCCGGGATCCAAGAAGTTCTGACTGCTGCTTTGATAACCCCAAGTCACGCACTAAGTCATTCAACTCGCTTTGAACAATCAAATGTGGCTTGTCGGAACCGCCCTCTGGGGTAAAGGTAGGATCAGTACACTGGTCTCCAGAGCTGTTTGATTCAATATCTTCCTTATCTTCCAAAACAATACCTTGCCAGTCTAAGGGCGCGATCGGCACTGGGAGATCTGCACCATGAAGAACAGGTCGTATGGCAGACGGCAAATTGGGATACTCGATCTTGTGCTTTTGTTTTTGGAAAAACCTTCAGTTTTCGTCAGGCAAAAATAGCAATCGTCAAAATGGTTAGTTGGTTCTCGCCATACCATTGGAACAGCAAATGGCATTTTTTCCTCTTCCCTTTCATCCACTGCACAAGCGACACGCTACAAGTAACGCAGCACACATGAGGAGCCCACTGCTTGTCTTGATCTCCAACCAAAACTCCAAAATACTTGAAGTAGGCTTTCTTCACATTTTCAGAAAATGGTCTGGCTTGTGATTGCACCATAAATTCTCCACAAATGTAACAAAATCGATCAGGAGACACTTTACAACTGCGGCGCGTTTGACTTGACATTTTCGTACTATTTATCTACACGCATAGAACAACTCACGTCGAAAATCAACTGAAAACTGAACTCTCTTATGTTTTTCACAATATATTATAGTGCACAAAATGCGTCCCTTTCAATCATCCCATCATAAAATTTACCTGTATGTAAACGAATCTACCTAGACTTAATACCTGACATCTATAAAATTGACTACCTGCAAAAAAGAGGCGTAATTAGGCAACTGAAAAGTGGTACGTGTAGGAGCTTCAGGAGTATTTTTTCTGTTATTAGAAGCATATTTTTATGAAGAAATTCTGCAACTGACTCGTGTTACAAAAATCATGTCGGCCTGTGTAATATATCCAGTGACTTACCATTAAATCTTGGTGCTATTCTAATCTCCTATGCCTCAAACTATCAACCTATACTAACGTTTTGTCATATAAAAGTACTATACAACCTTTTGTACTTAATAACACCACTATTGACGTCGTGGACTCTGTGAAATTCTTAGGACTTGTAGTAGACAACTCGTTAAAATGGGACTTGCACATCGAAGCTTTATCAAAGAAACTAAGCGCTGCCTGTTTTGCGCTAAGATCAGTTTCTATGGAATTTAACTTACCAACCTCTAGAATAGCCTATTATGCCCTGTTTGAGTCACATCTTCGTTATGCCCTTCCATTCTGGGTTACTTGCTGCGCAACAAAATTTTATCTTATTTCCGAACTTCAAAAGAGGGGAGTTCGATATTTATTGGGAGTAAACAGTAGAACCCACTGCCAGAATTTCTTTAAAAATTTCGAAATACTGACTCTTCCTTCTTTATTAATTTTTGAATCCGTTTGCTTAATCCGCAAGCACATATCTGCTATTCCCGAAAGATCATCTCACAACTATCCACTTAGGAATGCGGACCACCAGTGGTGGACTAAGGGGGGGGGCGGAAGGGGCGGTCCGCCCAGGGCCCCTTCTTCTAGGGGTTCTCCAAATCTTAAGAAGTAATTTTTTATTCAACTGGCAAACAAGGCCAATATGTGTTCAGTAGTTATGAAACAATCTGTAATTAGAGTATGCAAAACCATAAGTATATACAGTACGTCTGCTGGAACTGTGTCTATGAAAGGAATGCGGACAAAAAACATTTAAATAAACAACAATATATTTTATACGTCGACTTGACGAGTACGTCACCGCAAATCGCTCCGCCCGCTCATTTTATTGGCTACTTGCAAATTTGTCGAATTTTTATTGATGGGACGCACCGTCTAATTTTTTACGAAAAACATCGAGAGAATATCGTTTCCCCTCTCACGGATACCCCGTAGCTACAGGACGGACAGACGTACTGTACGCAAACTATACACAGTATAAATGGAAGCAGATATTTACTTAATTATCAATTATTAGGTTCCAGTAATTGTCAATGGCATTTTTCTATTTACGAAATTAAATCAAGGTTTAGAATATCGAATAATTATTATTTTTTATAACTTTAAAGATTAAAGTTAATTTCAATGGTTTCATTATTTATTTTTACTGAATAAATAATTTCTTAAAACTTGTAAAGAATGTTAACTTGTATTCTAGCTTTCTAACCGAGCAGCACCGTCTTTAGAATAAAGGGGGCCACGAGCCTGAGACAGCGAAGGGGTCTCTCGGATCTTGGACGGGGCCCCTTACAAAATCGCGGTATTTACCTGGAACGGTCGCGAAAGTAACGGGGCTTATATTATGTGGAACCGGTATTCACATCACTTTGTCATCATAAATTGCCATTAAATACATGCAAACATTCGCTCGGGGATTGTTTTATTACGTCAAATTGCATTCGTTTTTCAATTATAAGCTTTAAAAAAATTGATGTTATCGTTTTTGAGGCCTTTTTGGAGGTGGGGCCCTTAATCTTTTCGTCGAGGCCTGTGGGTAAAAACGCCAAAAACGGCACTGCCGATGAATAACATATTTATATCTACAGTATGTCCGAGTATTGTCTTATAAACTTTTTTACTAAAATGGTAATTCTTGTTTATACTTTTCCAAATTTCCATACCATTTTAGAGAAAAATAAAAAAAAACATGAAAATGTAGTTAAATTTAAACTAGTAAAAATAAAACGCATTTCTATGGTAATATAATTTCGTTCTCATTTTTTTTTGATAGATTATTATTGATAGAATTTTAATTAACGTTATATTTTTTGCTGTTTTAAAATGTTAAAGAAGCACAAAATTTATTTAGTTCAATGCTTGGATCAATGCTACAGAAGGGTGATAATAGTTATCGGAAAATGTCTATCGAAACTTTCTAAAATATAATATAATTTTTCTTGGTTTTTTTAAATGGAACACCCTGTATATTATTTTTTCAATAGATGGAGAATTAAAAAATGAACATTTTTTGTATTTAGAGTATTTCAAAAATTTTTGACAGTTTCGCAGATATTCGCGGTTTTATATTTAATATGGCATTTGCCATAGTAAATTTTTATCAAAGCCACCCAATGATTTTTCTCTCATATTTTACCGTTGAGAGAGCTATATGAAATAATACTGCGCGTATCTGCGAAACCATTTAAAATTTTGAAATACTTTAAATATAAAAAATGTTCATTTTTTAATTCTCCATCTAATAAAAAAATAATATACAGGGTGTTCAATTT